TTTTTTTTTAAGACAGAGTCTCAAGCTGTCGCCCTGGGTAGAGTGCCATGTCATCACAGCTCACAGCAACCTCAAACTCTCGGCCTTAAGCAATTCCCTTGCCTCAGCCACCTTTGACATAGTTATTTTAAAGTCCTTGTGGAGAAGAGATGAGAGAGAAGGAACAGAGAGCAGAGACTGAGGGAAGGAAAGATGGGGAAGAGAGAGAAAAGGAATATGGTATATATTCCTGAGAATGGTGTTATATCCCAAAGAAGAGGAAAGAATGTCTGCGCTGAAGTAGGTATGGAAGATTGAGTCAATCTAGTCAGTATTTGAACCGATTTGTTTTTTATAGATATTATAGTTACCTTTAGCTCACTACTAACTTCAAATTTTTTATTGGTATGCTCCTGCTACCTTGTGAGTAGGGTGAAGCCTGGAAGACTTATCAATCTATCCACTTGCTCTTTTAACAATGGCAAGTAGCTGATGCTTCTTGCCTAGTACCAGGCATAGGAGGGATCTGGGATTCTCTTGCTCTATCCTTAATCTTAGGCAGTCCTACACTCAGCTTTTAAGTTGTTTTCTTAGCACTCACTTTTATACCTACCACCTCTTCCTCCCATACTCTGTGAAGGGAGAAACAATTTGAGAGCTCTGCCTCACCTTGCAGGGGCTTACCACTTATTAGAATTAATTTCACCTCTTGGCAGCAACTCTTCTGCTTCAAAGTATAGGAGAGGATAATCTAGGTGAAAAGATAACTTTCTGGAATACCTTTTTTTTTTCTTTCAGTGCCTATATCACGTTCTTTAGTAACCTGAAAAGAAAAGTATCAAGCCTTGTCTATTTATTTTGGTATCTAACTTTATATCTTGGTTGTGATGATGATTTTAAAAAGTTACCTGCTCTAGTCTGCTTTCATACCAGTGAGGTTTGAAAAAATAATAAATAAATCTTATATAACAATGCTTTGATGCCAGAACAGTACATAAATTGCCTACCTTAATATCACATGAATTGACATTTCAGAAGAGCTCTTTATGTTGTTTTATCGGCCCGGAATGTTACTTAAAGAGGCTTGCTTTTGGTTGAATTTATGCAAGTTGTTGAAAATGTGAGGCTAACGGCTTTGTCTTCCTTCATGTTTCAGGTATTGGTGGTAATTTGGTAGCCATTCAGGCTAGCAGGATTTCGACCTACCTCCACTTACATAGCATTCCGGGAGAACTGCCTGATGAACCCAAAGGCTGTTATTACCCATTTAGAACTTTTTTTGGTCCAGGTACGTTCTTATGGTTTTTGCATGTTTTATATCAGAAAACATTGATCTCTGAAATTATAGGCTAGGCAACATTTATTGAATATATATTTTGTTTGTGTCACATCACTTTTCTATTTCTGAGAGCTAATCTAAGTGAACAAATAGTAATTTGTATCAATACTGCAGTTGCCAAGGATTTTTGTATAATTTTTTATTTTTATGCCTCTCTTCTTGTTAGTAATGAAAGAGGAACTTTATATATACCCAAGAAAAGCATTACTAGGTGATTTAGGGAGACAAATATACTGTCTTGCCTGTATTAATAATCTTGGCCTTTCTAAATGTAGAGATTTGCTCTTAAACAAAATGAGAAGGGATAACCTCAGTTATAAGGCATAGTGCATTATTTATGTGATTATGAAAAAACTAAGGAAAGCAAAAAAAACTAAGACCACAATGTTAAACCTCACAGTTCTTGTCACTTTTTCCTGATGAAAAGTGTTTTTTTTTTATTAAGTCATTTGTACATAGACCATAAATACATTTATGCCATTATGGGATTCAATGTGTTGATTATTTGTACAAACTGGAGTGCTTACATCCTACTAAACAACATGGCCTTCACCTCATTTACCAATTACAGGATTAAGACATTTGTGTTCTACACCTGATAGATCCAACTTGTACTTGCAATATGCTCCCTAGGTGTGGTCCCCCTACTAACTCTCCCTCTATAGACCCACCCCCCTCCCCTTCCTTCATCCTAGGCTATAGTTGTGTCTCATTTTTCATATGCAAGAGTGATTATTAACTTTTAAATGAAGATCAAAAATGCCTAGATGTGTAATACCAGTGATAGAGCTCTAAATGTCTAAGTAAAATTACAACCTTCTAGTACATTAAGAACTTTATATTTTCTCTTTTGTCTTCCCTCTTTTTATGATAGATAATAAAGTCTGACCAGTGTTCTTCATAATGAGTTTTTATCAACCACCTTTCATCTAATGAAGAATGTATAACATATAGTGGGAATTTGAAAGAATTAAACGAATAGTAATTAGTTAAAATTTATTTTTCAGTGATTGAATTTTATATGGATAGTAGGAAGTATAGTAACTGCATAGTAATCCTCACATTTTAGTAACCGTGACCTCTTGCTAACCACAATATGATTTTGCTTAATGACTTTTACATTTATATTACAGGAGTAAATAATAAGTCTGCCCAAGTTCTACTGCTTTTAGTGATTCCTGGACATTTAATTTTCCTCTACACTATACACTTGATGAAGAGTGGCCATACTTCTTTAACTATAATCTTCATAGTAGTGTACTTATTTGCTGCTGTGTTACAGGTAAGAGTTAAAACCTCTGAAACCTCTTTTATACTCAAATTGCTAAGAAAGTATAACTATATAACTAAAAACATGTGCCATGGTTCACCATTACAGAAGTCAGCGGGATAGCTTTGTATTGATTTGACCCTCTTAACACCCATGAGCTCAGGACCCTTCTATGATCTGGCTCATAGAACCTTCGGATTTCCATCTTTCCTTGTTTGGTTCTCTTGTTTTATATTAACACATCTTCCACTAGATTCCTGAGAGAATGGAGGTATGGTAGTACATTTTCGAGCTTTGTATGTTATGAAAAACTTCATATCACCCTGTCTATAGGTTGATTGATATAGAATTCTGTTTCTTTCAGAATTTTGAAGGCATTGTTTCATTTTTTCCTATTACTAGGGAAAATAGGCACTATTCTTACCCCTAATCCCATTGTACATAGCTCCTTTTATCTCCCTAGAAGCTTACAAAATCTGCTGTCTTATTATTCTTAAATTTCATATTGCTGTACCTCGGGAGTTCTTAAATGGAATGCTGATGTACCCTGGTAGTGTGTATTTTGTCTGTTATTTTTTTGACCCTTTCAGTCTAAAAACTCAGGTTCTGCAGTTCTAGGGAAATTCCTCAGATTATTTCTTTGATGATTTTCTCTCCATTTTCTCTCTTCTTTATTTCTTGAATCTTATTATTTACTTCTTGGAACTGTTGCATTAAATTTCTTATCTTATTCTCTCTCTCTTTTTTTCTCTTTCTAGGAAATTTCCATGCTTTTCTAATTTTTTCTTTGTTGTGTTACTGAGGTTTTTGGAGAGAGTAGAGTAGAATGCTTATATTCAACTTGCCCTTTTTGTGTGGAAGGCTTTCACTTTAAAATTTAAGAAAATAAGCTTCTACTTTTCAAACTGCGTGGTCAATATAATACATGTATAAAAATTTTAAAATAGTACTAAAAAATCCTACCTTTTCCATCTCATTTCTCAGAAATAATAATCGCTTTGAAATAGTTTAACTGTATTCTGGTATTTATAAGTTTTAAAGTAATATTACCCAAACTTCTAGTTTGTGATTAATCTCCTTTAGACTTTTACTAAGAAAAGTTGAGGACTTAGGGGTTGCAATAAGTCCCATCTTTCCCATATAGTTCCTGTCCACCAGGCAGTGTTCTAAGGGCTTTCCATGTGTTGATTTACTAAATTCTCACAAAATTCCATGAGATTGGTTCTTCTCTAAAAATCAGTGATTTTTAAAGTAGAATGCCTGCAAACAATGCATTGTACATAGGAAGAAAAGGTTAAATTTTCATTTGTTTAAAATGTCTATTTTCTATTTTTATGTTTGCTAAGTAATAAGCATAAGCATTGTATTACATAAATATGCTGGCTTGGCACCTGTGGCTCAAGCAGCTAAGGAGCCAGTCACATATACCTGAGCTGGCAGGTTTGAATCCATCCTGGGCCTGCCAAACAACAATGACAACTACAACCAAAAAAAAAAAAAATAGCCGGCCATTGTGGCGGGTGCCTGTAGTCCGAGCTACTTGGGAGGCAGAGGCAGGAGAATCGCTTGAGCCCAGGAGTTGGAGGTTGCTGTGAGCTGTGATACCATGGCACTCTACCCAGGGGGACAGCTTGAGGCTCTGTCTCAAAAAAGATATATAAATAAATAAATAAATATGCTCAGATATTTTATGCTGAGATTGCTGCAAAAGCTAAAACTTTTGGAGATTATTGACTTAAAACAGAGAAGAGGAAACACAGAGCTTGTGTCACTGAAAGCAATTCGTAGATAGGATCTAACTAAGAGGAGGGAGTAGACAAGATGTGCCTATTCTTAAAATAACAAAGCTTTAGAACTTGGAGGTTTTAATCTTTCCGTAATGCTTTATGGTGCCTTAAGTTTTATAAAAAATCACCTATCAAATCATGTATTCGTGCCAGGCATGGTGGTTCTTGGGAGGCTGAGGTGGAAGTGATTGCCCTAAGCCATTGCCCTCCAGCCTGCGTGAGAGAGTGAGACCCTAACTATGAAAAAGAATTCATTCATTTATTCATTCCATAAATCTTTATTCTACTAGATGTGGGGATGGCTTTTAAGTCCCAGGAGAAAGAAACTCAGGAGCTATCTATACTCAGGGACTGGTAGTCTGGAGGGAATACTACCCATGAACAAATAATTGTAATAGAGCATAAATGCTGGGTGTAGCTAGGTATAAAGTGCTTTCAGAGCCTGGAGGAAAAAGCAGCTAACTACTTGGGGAGCCATATTTTTCTACTGTTCAGGAGTGACAAAAGTGATATCAAATGTTTTTTTACTGTTGGCTACTTCTATTGCTATATGTAATATAGTCATTTATCACCATTTCTGTCTGACGCTGCTCTGCGTGTATTATGAAAAAGATGCATTCTTCAATCCCGTGGGAAATATTCCGAGCCCAGTCTTTGGACTGCTGGCTGACACAGCATTTCTAGAGCATGCTTCTTTTTGAAACTCTACCCCTTGGCCTCACGGATTGATCTGACGTTTGTTTGTGGTTCTGTGCCAACACCCCACATCATTTCACTTAAGTCAATGAAAGACATGAATAATTTTTCTGAGTTTGTAAAAATTAGATTTTGACCTAGATCCACAGTATACTTACATGCCCTTTTGTAACCTCTGACCTCAATTCCTTCCAGTGAAGTTGAAAAACTGGAGTTGAGAAAAGAAGGATTATTCATCTCTCTGTGTCTCAGTTACTCCTTCTGTAACATGGGAACAATTATATGATCTACTTCATAGGCTGTGCTGAGAATTTATTGAATTACTTACTTAGAGAAAGATTGCTACCTAGCAGATGGTATGTAAGTGTCAGCTGATGCTGTTGTTGCTATTAAACAGAGCTATACATGGTGGGCCATTGATCTCTGAATGACAACTGGAAAATATTTTGGTTTTGTCTTTCAGTGTTCATTTAATTTTCTTATGTGTCTTTTATAACTCTCATTTTCATAGGGTCTGCCTCTTATCTTATCCCCAAGAATCAGATCTCTGCCACAGTAGATCTTTGTATTTGCCCCCTGACACTGCAAATTATTCCAATGGAATAGCTTAGAATCATATTGTAAATTCTCAGCTCAAATCCTCATGCTCTGACATTAACATACACAAATATACACATAAGCACATGCACACACACCTCTTTAAGGTTTGGTTAAAAGATCTTGACCTTCCGCAGCCTGCTTTAATCAATTCAAAGATGGACAGAATGAAATATCTGCTAAAGACGAAGAATCTTTGACCATTTAAGACTTACCTTTTAATGTACTTTACTTGATTGGCTTTCTTTTTTTGGTCTGGGTTAAATTTACATTCAGAGTTTTGGTCTCAGCTCTTATTCAGTTTTTTTTGCTCCGCCCCACTCGTCTCATCCCTAAACTCTATATTTTGATATGAATGTTATAGGTTTTCTTAAATGCTAAATTTCTTTCTATCTAGACTCCTGCCTCCTTGAGGGCTGAGGCCATGTCTTCTCTTTGGTATACTTTACAGGACTTGATATAGTAGATGTTTTTGGAATTCTTGGCTTTTTACTTCCTTCGCAGACTAATACTCTTTGAAGAGCCGTCCCCCCAGTTCCCCAGCCAATTAAATGAAAGAAATCTGTGTGAAGGAAACCTGCATTTACTGTAATGGCACAGTAACAATCATTTGCAGCACTTTTGCATTTACCCAGATATCATCTCTTCCTGGAAGCTGTTCTTGAATATCTGATTTGGTCTGAGTGGTCTTATTCTCCACTTCCCAAGGTCCCCCATGAATACCATTATCCTAGATTTTTCCATATCATATTGACATTGTCTATTTGTGTGTCTGTCTCACCCATTTAGAGAAAGGGTCTTTGTTTTACTCATTTTTTTTTTATCTCCAGCACTTAGCCCTGTCCCCATCCGGTGCTCAATGAATGTTAAAGTGAATGACTGTATCTTGCTAGTTCCATCTCTTCTTCCAATGGAAAGAGGAAAAAAGATTCACAACTGTATTTAGGTACCAGAAACCCCAAAAGAACTAAAACAAAATCCTAAATTTTATTCCGCTTACTTTCCATAAGCACCAATTTCCTTTCATTCTCTTTCATAGGTATTCAAAATAAAAGGCAAGGAAAAATAAAATGCAAAAATCTGACAAATTTTAACAATTGGTTAAAATTATATAATTTTCCTGAAATGTTTAGAGATTAAATGACATCTAGGGAAATGAAAGAGTAGGGATAAAATTGGTCATGAATTGATAATAATAGATGAAGCTGAGTGATGATACCTGAGAATGGGTGGGATTAATTTAGACTATTGTCTACTTTTGTATGTGTTTGGATTTTTCCATGTTAAGTTTTTAAAATTAAGGGTTTGACTTTCAGATATTATCAATAGGAGTTTGTTCCATAGCATATGTGCTCTCTACTTTTGGTCTTGTTGCTCAATAGGTGTTTCTTAAATGAAAGGTAAAAAGTCAACTTGAGTTTTTGGGATTTAGCATGATTGAGTTTGTTTCTTATTTTTTGCCCTTGGCATTCACTAACTTAATTTTTTGTAACTATTTTTTAAATGAAAAAAAAATCTATTAACATGTCACTGGTTGCATTGTTTGGGGTACTTATTATGTATCTTGCATTAGGTACAAACAATCTCTTGAGCAATGAAGGAACAGCAGTGTATCCTGGTTCATTTCCCTGCTGACGGCCTCTACCAGTTTCCCTTTGTCTTAGAAATCCTAAGCATGCCTCCTTTGTCTGTGCAAAAAAAACATAAATATGCATCTTGTTGGATGACATATCCTATAAGATGCAAAAAAGATTGTCCCTAACCCAACTGAAAGAGGAGGAAAAAGGACTGTAATTAGATGAGTGGCTGAAAATGTAAGTCTGTTACCATTCAAGTCTCATTATTCTTATAGCCCACTATTTATTTCGCTCATTTGACTAAAAACAAACCCCCCTTTTGTTTTCCTATTAACAATTTTCCTTTTTGTTATGG